CCCCAAAACCCCAAAACCCCAAAACCCCAAAACCCCAAAACCCCTACAAGATACTATATATTGACTCATAATTAGCCAAACTTAATACAGAAACATAATGAGTTCTGAAGGAAGTACTCCAACTCCTATTGTTATTGATAATGGATCAGGGGTCGTCAAGGCTGGCCTCGCTGGGTTTAATACTCCTAGTGCCATTTTTCCCTCCCTGATTGCATACCCTAAGGCTGTTAATGTCCTTAGTCATGGCAAGAAGACGGATTATTACATTGGTGAGGAAGCAGAAGCTAAGAAAGGAGTCTGTACGATAAAGTACCCTATTGCCCATGGAATTGTTAGCAACTGGGATGAGATGAAGAAGATCTGGGACTATACATACTACAATGAGCTTCGTGAGGAGCCATCAGAACACCCTGTGATGCTCACAGAAGCGCCTCTTAATCCTAAGAGCAACAGAGAGAACATGACTAGGATTATGTTTGAAGAGTATGACGTCCCTGCAATGTTCATCCAGATCCAGGCTGTGTTATCCCTGTACTCTTCAGGGAGAACAACAGGTGTTGTAGTAGACTCAGGTGATGGGGTGACCCACACCGTTCCCATATTCGAAGGCTACCAGATCCCACATGCCATTGATAAAATCCTTCTTGCTGGAAGAGACCTTACTGAGTTTATGAATAGAACTCTGAAAGACGAGGGCCACTTCTTCGAGACTAGCTCCGAGAAAGAAGAGGTGAGAAAGATGAAAGAACAGACTTGCTATGTTGCTCAAAACTTTGAGGAAGACATGAAGAAGGCATCTGAAGGAGGGGAATTAGAAGAGAATTATGTCCTTCCTGATAGGACTATCTGCAAATACTCTGTTCCAAGGTTTAAGTGTCCTGAGATGATGTTCCAACCCTCTCTTGGAGGTAGAGATATCGAAGGTGTTCATCAACTTACTTATAATTGTATTATGAACTGCGACTTAGATGTGAGAAAGGATCTTTACAACAACATCATCCTTTCAGGTGGCACGACAATGTTCCCAGGGTTCGGGGAAAGAATCTATAACGAAATGAAAGAACTTGCTCCTAAGACTATGAAGATTAAAGTAATTGCCTCTCCTGATAGAAAGTTTGCTGTATGGAAAGGAGGCTCAACTCTATCTCTTCTATCAACATTCAGCGGCATGTGGGTAACCAGAGCAGACTATGACGAGTTCGGAGAATCAGTGATTCACAGAAAATGATTCTAAATTCTCACTAAAAAGTTCCTCAAAACTCTCCAACTATTATATCTACATTTTTTTAATCGAGTCATCAGAATTTTTGAATTATTTTTCTTTATCTATCATAAATCCCTTGGCATATTATATTCATTTGGCTTCATTTTCAAAGCTATACACTATTTTTGGTTCTAAAAAATAGTATTTCTCCTATAAAGCTAAATTTGGAGCATTTTGCTAATCCAATCGATCTGCCAAAACACCATTATTTTTACTGGATTTCTCGTGTTCAAATTTTTCTTTAAAACTTAAAAATCAAAATCAGAGTCTGAGCAGCTTCGATACTAATAAGCTTCTCTAGTCAAGGGTAGTGAGGTAATAGAAAGAACTATGAGTATTTTGAATTGGGATAAATTGTCAAAGGATATAAATAAGACTAAGACTGCTTTAAAATAGAAGAAGACCATATATCTTAACATAACAAGAAACCGCTAGGATTTATTCTCAAAACTCTTTCAAGAGTTATAAAACTCCATTCAATGATCAGATTTTATGAAGAGTCAGAGCTATTATATTAATCTTGATTTTCATTTCTAATTGGCCCTTGCTTTTCGGCTGAATTATTGATAGCTCACCCGCCTAGCTCCTTGGAGGAGGATAGCCTTGATCTCATATAAAGTAGGAGAACTTGAGATATTCTAAAAATGTTTAGCCTATCAGGAAGCTAAGTTTGATGGTAAAAATATGACTCTCAGACTACCCCACTTAGACATGGCATAAAACATGCTCTTATTATAACTACTACTTGAAGGTATTGAGATAAATCTGACACTTATTCCTGTCAGAGTTTGGTCAATAGTGAGTTTAATTCTATACCTGACCAGTTTCTGCTAACTATAAAATTCTCTCACACGGACAGGCAAGATGTAGACATACTGAAAATTTATTTCAGGATGCAAGATACCGCTAAGAATACCCTCAAAAGTCCCCTCAACTTCGCATAAGCAATGCTTAGATCCAAGCATGAAGACCAATGATAGTTATAAATTTATTCAAAATACCCTCTTAACCCTCAGGAATCCACCAGAAATCTCTCACAATATTCCCCAATTAAAATTAGTCAACCTTAACTAATAACCCCGGGGTTTTGGGGTTTTGGGGTTTTGGGGTTTTGGGG